TGTGTGTGTGTGTGTGTGTGTGAGAGAGAGAGAGTGTGTGTGTGTGTGTGAGAGAGTGTGTGTGTGTGTGTGTGTGAGTGTGAGTGAGCAGCGCCCCCGCCTGGTCAGATCTTCTGTCTGTTTGCTGTTGTTCTGACGGGACAGTTAAGGTCTGCTGAATATCTCAGGGAGAGCAGACTGTTTCTGGAGGAACTGGAGTATTTGCACGTCTGTTGTAGATTAATAAAGTTGTTCTGTGTGAAATCAACCGGAGATATGAATGTAACTGAAACTGAAATAAAAGCCATTCAAGATGGTTATACAAATATGAGTCTCATTTTACAAATGCTACACACTCATCATGTAAGAAGATAGATAGATAGATAGATAGATAGATAGATAGACAGATAGATAGATAATGGGGAAATTATAAACTAATGTTCTTCCAGTAAAATTAATGTTAGTTCAAAGTTATCTGGGTTTTTAAAAATAAAAATAAATTAAAAAAGGGGAAGGGGAAGTCGTGGCCTAATGGTTAGAGAGTCGGACTCGTAACCCAAAGGTTGCGGGTTCGAGTCTCGTACCGGCAGGGATTGTAGGTGGGGGGAGTGAATGTACAGCGCTCTCTCCCACCTTCAATACCACGACTGAGGGTTAGGATGGAAGAAACAAATGTTCTTCCATTAAAGGTGACATATCATGAAAATCTGACTTCTCCAGGTTGTAAGAGCTATAATCAGGTCCCCGGTGCATCTACCAACCAAGGAAACGTGAAAAAGATTAACCCAGTAACTTTGTTTTGGGAAGCCTTTTTCTGCAAGCGTCTGAGAAAACCAGCGCGTCTGATTTCGCTCCCTTGGTGACGTGGCATGTGTTTCTGCTTCCACTCAAAATAGGCATTTTCAAAATGTTATAATAAATGATCTGTGGAGTATTTTGAGCTGAAACTTCACAGAAACACATTCTGGGGACACCAGAGACTTATATTATATATTGTAAAAAGGGGCATAATATGTCTCCTTTAACATTTATACAACGTTAGTTCAAAGTTGAATGTTTGTCTGTTTTTTTTAAATGTTACTACAGGTGCATCTCAATAAATTAGAATGTCGTGGAAAAGTTCATTTATTTCAGTAATTCAACTCAAATTGTGAAACTCGTGTATTAAATCAATTCAATGCACACAGACTGAAGTAGTTTAAGTCTTTGGTTCTTTTAATTGTGATGATTTTGGCTCACATTTAACAAAAACCCACCAATTCACAACCCATCAATCTCAACAAATTAGAATACTTCATAAGACATTTTTAGTGAATTGTTGGCCTTCTGGAAAGTATGTTCATTTACTGTACATGTACTCAATACTTGGTACTTCAGTCTGTGTGCATTGAATTGATTTAATACACGAGTTTCACAATTTGAGTTGAATTACTGAAATAAATGAACTTTTCCACGACATTCTAATTTATTGAGATGCACCTGTATTTGTTTCAGAACGTTCAGAGAACACTCAAAAGTAACAATTCTCATAATGTTTGCAAAATGGTACAATTGAACGTTCCCTTAGTGTTTTCTCTGACGTTCACATAACCAAGAAAAAACTATTTTAAAACATTTCAGTTCTAAAAACATTCCATAATAATGTTTTCATAATATAATGGGAACAGTAGCAAAATGTTCCTGAAACATTTTTTCTTAGATAGATAGATAGATAGTAGTAAATGTTGATGATGCTGATGCTAATGCTGAGATCACAGTGACTCTGAGTCTGGAGCATCATCATCATCATCATCTTCATCTCGGTTGAGCGCTGCTCCCATTTTGCCTGTAGTTTTCCGCATCATTTCCAGGTCAGAGTGCGCGGCGCTTCCTGTGGACTGAAGATGGCCGCAGATGGAGGCGCTCTGAAGGATATCAATGAGATTAAATCGCAGTTCCGGACCCGCGAGGGATTCTACAAGCTGCTCACCCTCTCGGACTCTCAGCAGCGGGCCGGGCTGCCGCGGGGCTCCTCGGCGGGCGTCACGGTGGGGCCGGGTGCGGGCGGCAGTGCCGGTGTTGGGCTGGTGCAGGGGCCCGGGTCCGCCGCCGCCGCCAACTCCTCTCCGGGCTTCCTGCCGCCGGTGCGGGTGTCGATGGTGAAGCTGAAGCCCGAGGACCCCAGCGAGGATTCGGAGCGAGTGTGCTTCAACATCGGCAGGGAACTTTACTTCTACACCTACACGAACATCAAGAAGGTCGAGCATCTCTTGATCTGATTGATGATTGGTTTTGAATGACAAAATCCGCGGATCCGATCGCGTCAGTGTAACAGCGAGATCCGCTTTGTTTAGCTTATGAAAACATTATTTCTTCAATGTTCTCTGAACGTTCAAACCTCCAGATTTTTAAATGTTTTGTAAACGCTTATGACACATTGATGTGTTACAAAATGATTACGCACAATGTTGCATTTACTCGTTTTGTGACACATTATGGGAACGTTACTTTTGAATGTTCTCTGAACAAGTAGCAACATTTAAAAAAAACTTCAGAAGAACATCCGACTAAAATGTTACATGAAAAAAAACATTGCATTGTTGTTGTATAAATAATGTTTTTGAGAACATTAGCTATTAAAGACCAGAACATTTCCATTAACGTTATTGCAGCGTTTGCTCATAATCTGAGAACGTTTGCGTGAGATCCAGAGAATCACATTCAGATCTGTCTGCAGTCCATGTTCATGTGTCGATCTGTGTGATCTAAATGTGAATAATACTGACACTGCCCTGTTGAAAAAAACAGCATATGCTGGTTAGGTATGATTTGACGCTGGGATGTTGGTTTAAGCTGGTCCTTTGCTGGTTTATGCTGGTCCTTTGCTGGTTTAAGCTGGTCCTTTGCCAGCACATGACCAGCATAAACCAGCAAAGGACCATCTTAAACCAGCATCCCAGCGTCAAAACATACCTAACCAGCATATGCTGTTTTTTTCAACAGGGTGGTTATGTGTACGTGATTTTTAATCTCAGATATGGAGCATATGCAAGCTTTCAGTGAAGCTTCGGTGTTTGGATTGAAGACATCAGTAGATAATGGGCCGGTCAGTGAAGGGTGCTGGTTTCGTGATGGTCTTTGGTTTAGGACACCTTGCATAAGCCATGTCTGGTTCTGGAAATTATTATGAAATGATTTTAGCGGCCACTGAAGCAAGATCTGCACTGAGATCAGTCAGCACTGTTGTTTTCTGGCCTGTTCAGGGTTGGACTGATGGACTAGTACATGGAGGTCAGATTAGTAGGCTACAGGATGCTTAAACCAGCAGCTTGTTCAGACAGACTGGTCTCATTAGGGTCAACCGGCACCAAAGTTATTCTAAAACGGCTTTCCTGTAGATCATGGGTTCGATTCCCCGGGAAGGCATCAACTGAAAAACACACACTTTAAATGCAGTGTAAGTCACTTTGGATAAATATAAATCTATGTGACCTTAAAGAATGACAAACACATTTCATCTGCACTCTGAGCCTACAAGATTGAACTGCTTTTATTTTATTTGTTCAACACAGACTCTGTCCTGTGTTTTTTTTTTTTCATTTGTTTTTTATATGCATGAAAAGAGGAGGAAAAAATGCACATTTTAACAAAAAAGTTCAGATTTCATACTAGAGTTTGAGAGAATTTGAATACAAATGTATATAATACTTCCAAAATAATACAGTGATTTTTTTTCTTTCATATATTTGAATAAGGGTTGTTATAGTAATCTAAAAAAACAAACAATATTACTTAAAAAAATAAATAATATATAGTAAATGTTCACTGAAATAAAATTTAAAAAAATAACTTATTTAATTACAACTAGTTGCAAAGGCAACATTTCTCTTGTTTCATTTAGTTTCACTTAAGTATGTAATGAAAATGTTTTTTTAACGGTTTTAGTTTTATTATATACATTTGCAATGTAAGCGATTCTTTGTTAAAGTGTGCAAACCACAGTTTAGCTTTTTATGTATGTACAATTGCATGCTAAAATAATCTAAAACTATATAGACATTAAAACGACTAAATACTAACAAAAATAATTTAAAAAGAAAAGAAAAAAAGACAAAAATAACAAAATGACAAAAATTTAAGTAGTAAAATTTAAATTTAAGACGTAAATTGAAATGAAAATTAAAAATATAAAAATGAAGACTAATTAAAAATATTAATACAATCTTCTTAATGACACAGAAATAACACTGCTCTTTCTCTGTGTGTGTGTGTGTGTGCGCGTGTGTGTGTGTATCTGTGTGTGTGTGCGTATTTGTGTGTGTGTGTATCTCTGTGTGTTTGTGTGCATGTGTATCTGTGTGTGTGTGTGTGTGTGTTTGTGTGTGCGTGTGTATCTCTGTGTGTGTGTGTTTGTGTGCGTGTGTATCTGTGTGTGTGTGTGTGTATCTGTGTGTGTGTGTATGTGTGTGTGTGCAGGCAGTGGATCTCAGTAAGCCCATAGACAAGCGCATCTATAAGGGAACTCAGCCTACCTGTCACGACTTTAATCAGTATTCGGCCACGGCTGACAGCGTGGCTCTGATCGTGGGATTCTCCGCTGGACAGGTGCAGTACCTCGACCCCATCAAGAAGGAGACCAGCAAGCTCTTCAACGAGGAGGTGAGCAGATGAGCGTGACTCCTCATCATGTCAAGCACATTTACACCTGATGAAAGCATCATCATATCAGATGAACTGGATCACCGGAGACTGCTGTTAATAGCAGGTGTAAACTGTCCTGTCACCTGCTGTTTACTGTCCTGAATACACCATAGTACCACATCCTAGTTTTCATGATGAATCATGTTTTTCATAAAGAATATGCTGAACAATTCAACATTTTAAGTATTTTGTGGACAGCAGCACAATCCTGTCAAAGATGATGATGTTCTGAATCTCAAACCATGACTGGGAGATCTGTCAGATCTGTGTGCGATAATTAAGATGCTCCTTCATGTTTCTAAACCAGTAATATGAAAACAGGAACCCTCTTTAGATGATCTTCCTCAAACAGCCGCAAACATTTAGTAATTTCCTCGTGGCAGTTTGAATTTGTCAATCTAATGGAAAGCAGGACCCCTTAAAATGAAGAGCTCTTACTCAGGATCTCTCTTTTTATTACATGACCTTGTTTTACAGCAATACACACTCCAGTTGTTTGAGTCTTACCTCTCAGATAGGTCCTTCAAGGTATCTTGGAGAGGTGAGGTGTCCAAGTAACAACATCTAGCTACTGGGGTGCCTCAGGGCTCAGTTCTTGGACCACTTCTCTTCTCTGTCTACATGGCATCACTAGGTTCTGTCATTCAGAAACATGGCTTTTCATATCACTGCTATGCTGATGACACTCAACTCTACATCTCATTCCATCATTTGTAAGTCGCTTTGGATAAAAGCATCTGCTAAATATGTAAATGTGAAACAGTTTTGCCGCACAATATTTCTGTGGAAACTGATTTTTCAGGATTCACAGATGAATAGAAAGTTCAAAAGTAGAGCGTTTATTTGAAACCGAAATCTTTTGTAACATTTTAAATGTCACTTTTGATCAGTTCTTATGCTGATATAGTGTAATATCTTCTCTCCCCAGAGGCTGATAGACAAATCAAAGGTGACGTGTCTCAAATGGCTGCCCAAGTCAGAGAATCTCTTCCTGGCGTCTCACGCCAGCGGTCACCTCTACCTCTATAACGTGGAGCACCCATGCGGCACCACCGCGCCTCAGTACTGTCTGCTCCGGCAGGGCGAGGGCTTTGCCGTCTACGCCTGCAAGACCAAGACGCCCCGTAACCCGCTGCTCCGCTGGGTGGTCGGCGATGGAGGGCTGAACGAGTTTGCCTTCTCGCCCGATGGCGTTCACGTGGCCTGCGTCGGTCAAGACGGCTGCCTGCGCGTCTTCCACTTCGACTCGATGGAGCTGCAAGGCGTGATGAAGAGCTACTTCGGCGGGCTTCTCTGCGTCTCCTGGAGCCCCGACGGAAAGTACCTCGCCACCGGCGGAGAGGATGATTTGGTGACCGTCTGGTCATTCGCCGAGAGTCGCGTGGTGGCGCGCGGACACGGCCACAAGTCGTGGGTCAACGTTGTTGCTTTCGACCCGTTCACGACGAGCCTGGAGGACGAGGAGCCGATGGAGCTCAGCGGCAGCGAGGAGGATCTCCAGCAGGGGGCACTGCACTTCGGCCGCGTGCGAACCAGCAGCACGCTCTCGCGCCTCTCGCGGCACAGCTCCAAAGGCGGCGCGTCGTCCGTGACGTACCGCTTCGGATCCGTCGGCCAGGACACGCAGTTCTGTTTGTGGGATCTGACGGATGACGTTCTGTATCCGCGGCTTCCGCTCTCCCGCGCGCTTACGAACACCTTCGGCCCTACGATTCCAAGCAGCACGGCGTTGAGCGGACACAACAGCATCGCGGCACCACGCGTCATTGATGTAAACACAAAGCCCGCCGCCGCGGGTCTTACCTCCCTCGACGAGAACTCTGTCCGCTCGATAGCATGTCAGCTGATCAAGATGAATAGCGCAGTCCGGAACGCTGTTGTTGAGCTATGTTTCCGTGAACACAAAAGCACAACAGTCTCTTACAGTCCTCTGAGTTAAGCGTAGTAGTCGGATGTAGTCCAGTTTATTGTCCAAAGAGCGTACGTTAGCCAGTACGATGGTGGGGATAGCTGGCTTTTGTGGGTTAGCCGTTAGCCTAGCCCGGATACCTCCGCGCTTACCCCTCTTCTGCTTCCTCTCGCGCCGCTTGTGGCGCCTCCGCTGTGGGCGAGATGCAGTAGTGGGGGTCGGTGATGGTGTGGGCCTCCGGAGCAGACCGAGATCCCGCAGCTCTTCGGCGTGCGCAGAGTTTAACTCTAAAAATGTGGTTCTGCCGACATAGAGCAGAAACTCACGACTGTATGTGCGCTTAGAGACAGGTAGACGCGATGAAGACGTACGAAAACACTGCGACTCACAAGACAAAAAACACGTTCTGACAGGAGAGAGAGAAGCCGCAGCGTGTGCACGCGCCGCCATCTTAGTTAAGCTACACTGAACACTGTTTTAAAAGTTTTAAAAAATTTAATTGGTGTAGGATTTACTTTAAAACTATTTTCACTCAGAAATTGCAAGTAAATTTTGCAAGTAATTACAAAGAAACGGCAAGTAACACATTGAATTAAATGTGAAATTTTGAAGTAGAAAGACTGAAATAGTATTTTCTTGATTTTTTTACAATGTGCGAGGAGAATCACAACATTAAAAACTTTGATTTGAAGCAAAAAAGTGTTTGAAAATTGGACAAAAGACAAAGGTGCAAGACTGAACTGAACAGGTAATAAATTTAAAAACAATGGAGAAAATGGAGATGTAGAAAGACAAAGTATTTTCTAGTAAAAATCTTCATTTACAAAGTTTTTTTTAATCAAAACATTAAACAATTTGATTTGAAGCAAAAAAGTGTTTAAAAAAATCGGGAAAAAAGACAGATACAAGACTGTGAAATGAACGGGTTTAATTGAATACTTTTTAACAGCCAATGAAATAATCAAATTAAACACAATGGAGGAATATAAATTCAATATGCATCTTTAAATCTATTCATTATTAATTTTTCTTTTTTTTTGGCCAGCTATTTTCAGATGTAGCAAATATGTTGGATGTTGCCAAAAGTCACTTCATCACTGCTCATAGTTTAACTCATGCTTTTTCCTGTCTGTGTTTCCACTAGCACCCGTCTCAGCCGCTGTCAGCACAGAACGGAAACTCTCCGAGCGGGACGGTGGTATAGTCGAAGCCTCATTCCCAGAGCTGATTCCCGTGTCTGCATCCGGAGCCGGTCCATCACAGCGTCACCATTCACCCGTCCACTGTATTCCCACCAAACCACACGCTTGAGTTGCACACGAACGTAAACACACCCCGGGACCATGCTGCACCGCTGCGACTCTCTCCTGCAGACAGACTGCGAGACTCTTCCGTGCAGAAACTGCTGGCCTCTTCTCCGGCCGCATTCACTGCAAACGCCACGGCCATTTTATTTCCTATTTATTTATTTGATCATCGAGACTTCTATTGTACATATTCAGACTACTCTATAACGGCAGAGGACATGTATTGAAATAATGAACTCAAATAATTAATATATGAAGATCCTATATTGTACATAGTGACAGATGCATTGTATGTGGATTGACGAGTTCTTGTTCTAGTGTGCTAGTGCTTCATAAGTGGCGATCTGGCTGAGAAAGTGCATCCTTTGCTTTGGCATCAGGCCTGAACTGAGAGTTACGTGCATTTGTTAAACCGTTAGACTCGAGTTTTCAGCTTCATAGATTGCAGATGCTACTAGAGAGGTGAGGTTAGTGTCGTCTAGAAATTGTGTAAAATGGTAGGCAGGGTATATGAACCGTGAAAGTGAGATTTTATATATTTACTAAGTTTTTGCTAAGCAAACAACGTCACCGCTGAATGAAAACGGACGTTTGTGACATGACTGTTTAGAGCTAGTCCAAACTAGAAGCGGATCTCTTAAAATTTGCCTTGTTGAAACCAAGTCTATGGAAGCCTGTTTCCGGGTACAGAATAAAAAAAAATAATAAAAATGGTTATTGCAACTTTTTTTCTCGCAATTCTGAGAAAAATGCAATATATAAACTGGGAAAAAAAAAAGGGAATTGTAACATATAAACAAAAATTCTGTGGTGGAAACAAAAAACAAAATTGCATAATTATGAGAAAAAAAGTCAGAATTATGAGATATAAACTCAGAATTCTGGAAAAAAGTTAAAATTGCGAGATATAAACTCAGAATTCCAAAAAAAGTAAAAGTTACGAGATATAAACCAAGAATTCCGGAAAAAAAGTTAAAATTGCGAGATATAAACTCAGAATTTCGAAAAAAAAGTTAAAATTGCGAGATATAAACTCAGAATTCCAAAAAAACTTAAAATTGCGAGATATAAACTCAGAATTCCGGAAAAAAGTTACGAGATATAAACTAAGAATTCCGGAAAAAAAGTTAAAATTGCGAGATATAAACTCAGAATTCCAAAAAAACTTAAAATTGCGAGATATAAACTAAGAATTCCGAAAAAAAGTGCGAGAGATAAACCAAGAATTCCGGAAAAAAAGTTACAATTGCAAGATATAAACTCAGAATTCCAAAAAAAAAAGTCAGTTACGAGATATAAACTAAGAATTCCGAGAAGAAAAAAAAAAAAGTTAAAATTGCGAGATATAAGCTCAGAACTCCCAAAAAAGTCAAAGTTGCGAGATATAAACTAAGAATTACAGAAAAAAAGTTAAAATTGTGAGATATAAAATCAGAATTCCGAAAAAAGTCAAAATTGCTACAAGTAACCTCAGAATGACAAAAAAGTCAATTCTGAGAAAAAAAGTCGCAATAACCTTTTTTTAATCTTTTTTTATTCCGTGACGGAAATGAGCTTCCATACAAGTCGGATGTAATGGAAGGGAGAATCTTCTCTGTCATTTAAGCAGCACATTTTACTATTGTAGCACGGAGTAGGCGCTATTCCTTACACCTGCTATGCCTCTTGCTAAATTTTGCACATTTACAGGTTGATTTTAGCTCGCTGGAGGGACCATTTTCAAGAAGTCGGGATCACCGAGAGCCAATGTGAAGTGTGTTTTTAAGGTTTTGTCATGCAGACTTCTCAAAAGGACAATGTCATATCATTTCTAGTGACGTCTGTCAATCAGTTAGATTCTTGCCATTAAGCAAATCAGTGCAAACATGCATTAACAAACATTTCTGACTGCTCCTGTAGAGAAGAAAACAAAATCAATGGATATCACATATACCGTCAGTCATTACAGTTCAAATTGTCACCAAAACCAGTTTCTCAAGCAAGTTCTGCAATGTTTTGAGTTTCTTTGGTGATCCTGACAGTGAACTTGCACCTTAAGGATGGATTATTTTCTCGCAAGCTCCTATTTAACGCATCTAAATACTCAAACCAACTGGGACAGCATTAAAATTGTTGGAGAAGTTTGTGACGAACCATATTTGAGGACACTGAGTCTTTCTAGAAGTCTGCGAGGAGGAATAACACTACGCAAACTGGTCTTTTAGGTGATTGTACTGGTTTAAATGTGGTTTGGCTGCTTTAGTGATCCCGGCATGGACGTTTCTTCTCCTAGAGGCAGATCTTTGCTTGTATTTTAGACAAAGGCCAAGCTAATGAACTCTTATATGATCATTCCCACCGAATTACAGAACACTACTTGATAAAAACAGTGTTTTAGCCCTGGCGGTATGTATGCTTAACACTTAGTTCTCATTTTTTTATGTCATTTTGTAGCTTTAAGTGTTTTTTTAAATCTCAGATATTTTGGGATTTATGTTTTGTACGGCTGTAGCATTGTGATTGTCTTTTGCTGTTAACTGGAGAAATGCAAACGGACCAATTAGTGGATGTTGGCACGTTTTGTGTATTTCTATTGTGCGCTTTATAAACTACTGCTTAAACAATGCCGTCCATTAGGTTCATCTTTTCTCTTTTTTTTTTGTAGCTTTAAGTGTTTTTTTAAATCTCAGATATTTTGGGATTTGTGTTTTGTACGGCTGTAGCATTGTGATTGTCTTTTGCTGTTAACTGGAGAAATGCAAACAGACCAATTAGTGGATGTTGGCACGTTTTGTGTATTTCTATTGTGCGCTTTATAAACTACTGCTTAAACAATGCCGTCCATTAGGTTCATCTTTTCTCTTTTTTTGCAAATGCATTCAGTTCTGAAGGATCTTTTGTTTTTTGTGAATCCTAACAGATGACGGCATCCAAGAGCGTCCCGCCTCATCGACGTATGAAAGTGGATGATTTCGGTGTAACTTCCACTCCTCCACACGATTATCTTCCACTGCATGTGTTTTCATTTAGCTGGTGATGTGGCCAACAATATCACAATATCCAGTTTGTATATGGGAATCTGTTATTAAAACATCAAATACTTATGCATCGCATTGTTATTTGTAATCACGTATATCAAATAACAAATTTAAAGGAAAGGTTCACCCAAAAATGATCTGAAAATGTGCTCACTCTTCTGAGTTTGTTTCTTCATCAGATTTGGAGAAATGTAGCATTGCATCACTTGCTGGATCCTCTGCAGTGAATGGGGGAAGATTGAGGGAAGTAAGTGCAACTCAAGTCGTCTGTTGAACGTTTTCAGCTATTGCATGGTTCCTTCAACACGCAGAAGATATCGCAACACGTCAGTAGTATGTAGTAACTGTTGAAGTATAAAAACCTTTGTCTTCGGTGAATACAGCAGTGTGGAGTTGTATTTGTAAAGCTGCTCTATCTGCCTCTGGTAAGACTACATTTGAGCACAGTATAGGCGAGACAAAAGTTATTTGATTGTGTTTTAGAGTTGGTTCTTTCACAGATTATCATGACGACTCACCAACCAGAACATCAGGTGAGTTTGAGAAATTAAATTCAGTGTTTATTCTAGATTCACCTTTGATTTACACACTTCTGACTGTCCTCCAGAGGCACAGGAACAGATCCCTGCAGGACACGGGTAACGTGAAGCTTGAGTATGGAGCTGATGATGAGGGCAAAGGTGTGGTACAAGTCCACAGTAGATGGAACAACATCCGTAAGTACTCTAGTTTGGTCTAGAGACCAACTATTAAAATCAGTTTACATGATATCACTAGATCTTTTAGTGGAAGATGACACCAACCAATCTGATTCAGAAATAGTGTCTTTAAGGCAAGGCACTACAGGCAAAACCTGTTTACTTGGTTACACTTTATCTATTTGCGTCTGTAGATTTCCATTACAGTACATACATTTAGTTTTTTCTCCACTTCTGCAGTACTTACATACACCAAAACTTAGGGTTTTATTCCTGTCTATATACTGAAGGTTTTTACTGAAGGGTTTGTTCATATATCATTCACACTGATTTATATAACATTTTATTCCTAAAAACATGGCGAAAATGCATATTTTTAAAGGCGGTGAGTTTTTTCTCCACTTCTGCAGTACTTACATACACCAAAACTTAGGGTTTTATTCCTGTCTATATACTGAAGGATTTTACTGAAGGGTTTGTTCATATATCATTCACACTGATTTATATAGCATTTTATTCCTAAAAACATGGCGAAAATGCATATTTTTAAAAGGCTGTGAGTTTGTTTCTCCACTTCAGCAGCACTTACATACACCAAAACTTGGAGAT